AAAAAAAAAAAAAAAAAAAAAAAAGAAATGAGAAAAACGAACTGGCACGTTGTCTGAATGTTTTCACGAGACAAGAGCGTGTTATGTAATAGTCGCTTCGTTTTGTTCAACGAAAGGCACAGCGTTTAATGAATGTAATTCGAGTGGAACTGCATCTTAATGAACACGAGCTACGTATGTCCCCATTTCGTTTTCCCTTTTCTTTCTTTTTCTTTCATTTCTTCGAAAGGAAATACGTTACTGTCGCAGTCGTTGTTCGATTTTCCTTAATTGGACCTTCAACGAAATTAATTTTGTAGCGGAAAGTGTCAGGCAACTCTTAACGATCGGTTCCCTCGTCTTCCACTTTCACAAATTAAATTACAAAGTCCGACGAAGCGCGCTGCATTTAATTATTTCTGCATTTTTTCTCTCCCCCCTCCCCGACGGACTTCCGTTTTACGTTTTCACGGGCAAGTTTCGAATTCTATTATAAAACGCTCTATAGTAGGCGCGGGCTTTCGAATTTTTAATGGAACACTCTTTGCCCACTGTGTTTTCTGTTTCACGCACGATCTCGACATTCCAAGCAATTCCACCCGATCTCTGTGTATAACATTTCGAAACGACCGTGGGATAAATTATTATTGGAAATAATTTTTGAAATCGCGCGAATATCGCGTAGTAAAAACTCGATGTTTAATTAATAAAAACACCGGCCAAAGGCAGGATAATTGGAACGAACGCGGGATAATAATTAATTCGAAATTAATGCCAGTTGTTTCTTTTGTCCGGAATGGAATTCTTTTCCAAGTTTCTTTTTGAATATTTTCCTGTGCAACTTGACGTCAACGTTGAAAATCGAACGGTAGCGAAATTCCTGGTATTTATTGAAATATTCCGAAACTCTACGAGAGGCAAAGAGTCTCGCGAGGTTAGTGAAAGGAAATAAGGTTCGGTTGAATTTATTCTCAAGAACAATGCTTTCCTTTGAGGAGGAAAGGGGAGAGAAAGAACGTAAAGAAGTCAGAGCTGCCAGAGAAAATTCTACGAAGAAGTTATTTCACTTTTCATCAAGAATTCCTACCGCTGGTAACCTAAATCTTAAATTTCTTCAAAACCGGCACTTCTGGCTCTTGCTTTTACATGATCAAAAACGTCTTTTCAAAGTTTCTTTACGTACATCCTTTTTAGTAAAAAGACGCGGGAAATACATCAAAGAAATCGTAAACCACCTTGCTATTACATAGCACAGTATGTGCCATAATGTCGGAGAAATTTATAGACGACACGTATGTACAATGTATCAACGACATATTATACGTTTGATGCTTCCCTTTAATATGAAACGATTAGAAGGTAGATAGAGTCTGGAATGATTTATACCTCAGTTTTCACATTTATCAATTGGATACGTTGATCATCTATTTAGAGACAATCATTAGGATATATTCAATAGATGGCAAACATAGAATAACAGGGAAGAGCAGATATTCTCAAGGTACATTCAGTCACGTCCACCTAAAACCTTGAATATCTATACACCCTCCTTTCGTTCGAATCCCAACCATTATAATAACCTCACCTATCCCTAACTCTCAAAAATTCAATTTGTACCGAATATTTCTATTTCACAGTTACAAATAAACAGAAAGACAGCGCTGTGTTTCAAGCTAGAAAGGAAAGAGGAAGAAAGAGAGAGATTCGAATTTTCGTTCTCGTACTTTAGAGTTGAAAAATCACGATCGAATCGAATCATCTGGGCTCATAGTTATCTCACAGTTATTCCGAGCCACGAGGCAGTTGCCTCGACGTGCCCACTTCCTTCCTTCCGGTATTTCCCGCGTGGCTTCTAATACCATTTGTTGCAGAACAACTCGTTCTTAGTCGTGGCACGATTCGATCTGAACAAGACACGGACGGAATTGCTGATCGCCATTATCGTGCCGTCGGGCCTGTTCGTCATCAGCCTGACGACGCTCGTTGTCATAACGCGGTCGGTGCAGGTTGGCGACGACGCGAAGATGCGTTGCCGTTACTGCGTCGACAAGCAGGAGGTCGAGGGCGAGGACGAGGGACTGGTCGAGGCTACACCCTCTTCGTCCCAAGGTCAGATGAACGAGAACGAGATCAAAAGCATGGCGCTTTAGCAGTTTAAGCCGAGTGGGACGAGCACCGTGCTCCGTTACGAGAGAGTGCCGTTGATCGACACTGACGAGGCTGAGGACTCTTTCTGAGTGTGGGACGAGTGTGCTGTTCTAGATTAGAAATTTACCAGCAAAGTGAATAACTGGATCGACGTCAACTCTCAGCCTCCGCGAGTCAACCTTTTCAGTACAATATTTCCCGTGTTTTTTCACGTGAAAAAACAAATGACCATCAGACGTCACTCAATTTGCTCTAGAAGTTAAGTTGTCTGATGTGGACGCCGCTTACTTACTAGAGGGTGATGAATTATAATGT